ATATATATATATATATATATATATATATATATATATATATAGTTTTTAAAATGTTTTTTTTCACTTACAAACATCACTGATTCGTATTCTTCTCGTGAAACATAAAGGAAAAATCCTGAATGACATTGTTAATTCAGCAACAACTACTTTTGTGGAAAATGATAAACACTTGTCAGACAGTGACTTCTTTGACCTCATTTTCACTATTTTCATGAAACAGCATAGTCCAAATTACACGTTTTCATGGTTGGTATATATTAATTAGCATGGGAAGCTAATTTATTCATTATGCTGATTAGCATTTGGTGTGCACTCATATGCTATCCACATTCATATAATAATCTTATTTCAAAATTGGGAGGAATTATTGTATGCCCTAGGACCGATGGATGAAAATAACAAAAGCAGAGCTAGAAACATCATATTTGTTCTTTCTCAAACTAGGTGGTAGTCAAAGTCTTTGATGCCCATTCAGTACACTGAATTCTTGCAGTGTCTGCATTTAACTTCCTGGTGACTTCACAAGTGGTGTACTTGCTGCTGAAATCTCCCCTTTAAACATCACTCTCTAACAAATTCTGGTTTGAATTAGTGTCTCATCTGTGGAATTATTTAGCCAGAAGTTGAGCATTGCCACTGACTGAATGTTAGGGTTATACTATATTTACTCAGGGTCCTGTTTTGTCCTTGGGAAATATTCCAGTATTAATGCAGGCGTGCTATATACAAGGGAGTATATGATATAATCTTGGAGTTAGTGTTGTTAATACGCCTGTATCCTTTGCTGAGTAGGACAGACACGTGGGTAATTTTCTGACAGCTGCAGGCCACAGAATAATTTGAAGTTATTTAGATATTGTTTCATTTCTTGTGATTTACCCTGCAGTCTTCTCAGCCTGCTCTGTGTATGCCTTATGCTGTGTTACCTCAGGATATTTGTACCAAAATAAGAACATTGTCCTCCAAAATGAAGTCCTGCTGAAGTCATCACTTTTAGATATAACTAAGGTAATGTGTGGACACAGAAAGTAGCTTAAGCTAATGCAGCAACTGCAGGAATTCAGCTTTTCTCTGTGCAGTCCTGTACGTAACTAGTTATTCACTGCAGATTAGGAGTACACATAACTAGGTAACCACTGCTATTGTTCATGATCATAGTGGGTTTAGAGAATATTGGCTTCTCCCTTTTACCACACTGCTGTTCTTTGGTAAGCCAGGAGAGCCTTTTGACTTTTTAGTGAAGTTTTGTGTTTGCTTGACTTGGTATCTGTCTGTAGTCCAGCCCCGTTGTGTCTGCAAGTTTGTGTGTGACTATGAGGCCACGTATTTGTCACCAAATCTTTTTGTAATGGCCAAGCATTAATGACTGATACAGGTTATTGAGCATTGCAGTCATATGATGAACTAAAACAGAGAAGGTGCAAAAAGGTTTGTCTGTTTTGAAAGAGCTCTAGAGAAGACAGGAAATAGCAGTGGTTTGATGTTTATCTTTATTTACAAGAAGCATTTAGACTGTCTGCTTGTAATGGCAGCAGAAAACTATGCATGCAGCCTTTGAAATGACTTCAGGCTGTCTACACCAGCAGTGCTTGGTGATTCTGTTGAAATTTGATTTTCTTGCAGATGGAGTCTGCTGCAAACTGGAGAAGTCGCTCTGAACATGCAGTGGACTTGGTCACCTTTTTTGTCATAGAGTGTGCTCCTGGCCTGTGGAAGGCTCAGGCTGGGACTGGTTACTCATTAAGCGTACAAAGGCTCCTATCTCCGGCCTAGTAAACCTCTTTTGCAAATAGTTTCCTGGGCTCCCACTCTTAATTGCTACAGAGATTCCAGGCAGATTCCGTCATCCTTGTTTTCTGCCTGACTGGGAATCTGAGAATAAAAGGGTTGATGGCAGAATAATGAGATTGCTGGACAGTGCAATGCTCAGCAACTCTCCCCAGCATCACATGAGAGAGGAAGGGAGGGGAGGGCCGCAGAGATGATGCTGGGAAGAGAAAGGGCTGTCTAAATCCCTGAGCACCCTCCCTCCCCCAGCAACACTGCCTCTTGAAAGAAGACTTAGAAACACTACAGTCTTTTGGTGGGAGGAATTTGGGGGAGGTCAGGACAGGGGCAGGCTTTTGTAAACCAAAGTCTCCTATAAATCCCTTTCAGGCACTCCACCTTCAGGTACAAAGAGACTGAGGAGCTGATGGGGCAGGAGCTGATAGAAAACCACTGACACAGATTAACTCCTGGATGTGTAGAAGGTGCACCAGAGCAAGGCAAACATGACCAAAAATGGGCTGGGATAATGTTGACATGGGTGAGAGAATGTGTAAGGTCAGCTGAGAAGTGATGCTGTGGTATGTGATCCTGGCAAATCCTTAGCATGGAGCACGTTAAAACAATATTTCTCAACTGTCAGTAATGCAGTGAGGGCCAAGGGTGGTGAGCTGGGGGCAGTGTCAGAGTAATGCCCACTCTCCACCTGCAGTTTTCGGGAGTTTCCCAGAGGCTGATTCCTGTCACTAGTTGGCCCACAGTTACATACAGAAGGCAGCAAAAAGGGCAAGGAGCTGGTTACACAACGGCATCTAAAACCAAGGTTAAATGCTCGGGATGGCATGACTTCCAGTGCTAGGCAGTCAGCATTGTCTCACTAGAAGCAGTAGCTGTTTCTCAGATACCACTTGTGATTTCATGAGCTGTGTCCCCGGGAGCAGCTGGGACATTAAGAGCCACAGCCAATACCTTGAAACATACTGGCTGCCTCTCTGGATTTCTAAGCACAAGTCCTGTGCCCTGTCAGTGAAAGGGGTTGTTGAATTTTACACAAAGTTCATCTTGTGAATGGATTGAAGGTGATATGTTTTGCTGCTCTCAGTGACTCGGGGATGAATGAGCACAAGCAAAAATGGTTTGTGAGTGCTTTCTGAAAACCAGGCATCTAGTCACCCATCTTAGCAATTGCTATCATATGAAGGCATGTTGTGTTGTCTTTAGAGTAAATGTTTGGTTCTCCAGTATCCTTAGCTAATGGCTAGAACAGCCCCTTGCAGTGTGGAATTGAGGTGGCAACCTCTGAGTTGGATGTGGCGACCAACAGAAGGATGAACTACTTCTTTAGGGCTACGTATGCCGACTAACACAAAGTCTCTTTTCTCAACAGGAACTTCATACTCTGAAAATGACAGCAGCTGTTCCTCATCCCCATGTAAGAATGGTGGGAGCTGTACGGATTTGGAAGCGGGTTACAAGTGCACCTGCCCCGTGAAGCCAGTAGCCTACGTGGGCATAAACTGTGAACACCTCTATGATGCGTGTGTTAAACATGAGTGTCCTGCCGACTGGATCTGCAGCAGGACTGCAGGACTCCTGGAATACAAATGCATCTGTGTGCCTGGCTTCACAGGTACCGATTGTGACGCTGATATTAATGAGTGTGCGAGCAACCCGTGTAAAGACCCTCGGTTTGAATGTGTGGATAGTGTAGATGGATACACCTGTAAATGCCAAACAGGACTGAATGGAGACAGCTGCCAAACAGAAAGATCTGTGTGCTCCAGCCAGCCCTGCCTAAATAACGGGACATGTGTCGAGGGTCCTGGGGACTACACCTGCGTCTGCCAGCCTGGCTTCACCGGGGCCAACTGTGGAGATGACATCGACGAGTGTGCCTCCAGGCCCTGCCAGAACGGAGCCATCTGCCGAGACAGGGTGAACGAGTACGGCTGTTTCTGTGTGCCTGGCTTCCAGGGCTACAACTGTGAGATAGACATCAACGAGTGTGCGTCCCGGCCCTGCAAAAACAACGGCACCTGCCTGAACGAGATGGATCACTACTTGTGCCAGTGCAGCCCCGGCTACACAGGTAGGTACCTTCCATGCTTGTGTATGAGCTGGGTGGTGGGGTTACATCTCGCTGTTTACGTAGTTCCACGATTTGCCTGCTGCTGACATGTCTTGTAGTGCTGGTAGCTGTCCTGAGAAGCTGCTGTTTTACAGCTGTGAGACTAAGTCTCTGCTGCACAACTCATATTTCTGGAGTGTTTGGTACTGTGTGTGAATAACAGTGGAGGGCTGCTTGATGTGGCTTTCGGGTGTCAGCTGAGGCTTAGATTTCTGTGGACTGTGTGGATGTTGAGAGATGTGGATCTAAGAGTGGAAGTAGGTGGAGACTTTCTGAGACTTGAGTACTAGATAGAGAGTAGATGTGATTAACGCTCAGTATGAACTGAAGTGAGGTATACAAAGGGAAGAGATTTATCATCAGGAAATGGATACTTGGTTTTCCAGGTACAACTTACCTGTGCCTATCTGGCTTGTAGTTCTTTGTCCCGGCAGGATTTCTCTGAGGGAAGCAGTCTTTTTGGAATAAGGTGGCTGTTAGTCAGAGATTTCTAGTTCTTTCAGGCCCAGGGAATGTTTATTTGGCATGTGACATAAGTGTCTTTTTGTTTTTGTGCATCTGTGCTAATAATGGTGACTCAGAGTAATCTACACCTGTGAGTTATCTGTGAGGGAGGCAGTGGGGGGTTCTCTTGCCTCCAGCTCTGCTTATCACAGTGGAATGCAATTGTGCTGCGCCCGTGTCTGCCTGGTACCACCTAGCACATGAACTTTCTCAGCCTTCCTCTTGTCACAGGATGAAGTATTTAGAGTTAGGTTGTTGTGAAGGAATGCTGCTGATTACCAGTGGAATGAGGAGAAGTTACAACATCAAGGAATGTGGTCTCTGATGCTGACTCACTCTCTGATAAAAATGAACAGAGATGAAGGACAAAAAAAGCAGAATTTCTCTGTAGGCCTTAAGATTCCTATTGATTTTAGTATCAAGCGTAATTCTGTCTTTGCAAATCAGTTTCTTTTTTGTCTTGATGCTGAATCCTTAGTTCTGGATTGTGGGATTCCCCTGCCAAGGAGGTGATAAAATGACCCAGGCAGGTGGAGGAGCTTGTGCTCCAAGTTATTCTGATGTTAAATATGAGGCTTTGCCTTGTGATCTAGTGCTTCAAGCAGAGGTTCTAGCACCCTCGGCCAGCAAGGCCAGGTTGTTTCCTGGTGCCTGCAGCTGGAATTTGGGTGAAGGAAGTTTTGCGTGGGTATTGACGGGTTTGAACCAGCAGATTAGGGGGCCCACATTCCGTCAGGATTAGGATGGCCATGTCCACTATGTGGTGAGCCTCTGCCAGGAAGGGGAGATTAGATGGATTGGCAGGTGCCACTGCAGTGACTAAGGTTTGGAGGTGATGTCAGGCCATGGACAACTCAGAGGTGGAATACAGTGTGGTGAAGTAGTTGTATAAAAGTCACACAGGATGGCTTGTTCTGTCAGGGAAAGTTGAGACTTTGGACTGAAAATGTGTGACGTGCTTTATTCATGACCTGTAGCATTGGAGCCAACACCTAATTTTTAATAGCATTTTATAATCAAATTTCTTACCTAATATCTAGTATCACTATAAATAGAGTTTTGCAATGCTTTAATGCTTTTTTCCTAGGTATCTCAAAGCAAGTTACAAATATTATTTAAGCAAATGGAACAATGTTTTGGAGAAGCAGGGTAGAGGTCACTTTTCCCATACCCAAAATGCAGCTGCCTCTGATGTAGAACACTGGATCTGATTAATAGCAACGCAACTCAGGTGAAGAGTACCATGTCTAACTAAAACTGTAAGAGCTATATCATATATAAAAGTTTAAATAACATGGACTAGCAGTGTGATTCTTCTTTTCCCGTCCCTGTCCTCCCTGCCCTCAAAAGCTCCCAAACCAAAACAGCTCTCATTAGGTTTTTAAGAACTGTATGTAAGATCAAGATTTTATGGCTTGCTCAAAAACCAGATGTTTTTTGTGAAGTGCTGACCGACTGGCTACTTCAGCAAACCTGAATGAAAAAGCCTTGCAAATACTGGAAACTATTTCTAATTTTGATCGAAGACTGAAATCCCAAAGTCTAGATAAAATAATTTTGTTTGCAAATAAAAATGGAAGGTCCTAATTTGTAAGAATCACATGCTGCTCATGAGCTCTCAATATTCTTAGGGCAAAATTAGAACAGATCGCTATGCTAGCCAGTTTGGGTTGATAACATGGCTTTTGTGATTCCAGCTCAGAAGTTCAGGCAGCACAGATGTACTTTTCTGGGCTTGTAACACAGCTCTTTCTCTGTCTTGTAACAAAGGTATAAACTGTGATGCTGAAATAGATGAATGCGATTCAGACCCCTGCCAGAATGGGGCCTCGTGCAATGACCATGTTGGGTTCTACACCTGCACCTGTGCCCCAGGGTACCAGGGGATCCACTGTGAGGTGGACATCAACGAATGTGTGAGCCAGCCGTGCCAGCACAACGGGACCTGCCATGACCTCGTTAACGGGTGAGAAATCAGGGTGTGGGCAATTAGGTACCAGGAGTGATCAAAAGGTCTATTTAGTGTAACCTGTGAAAATTAGAGTAGAAGTCGGGGTGGGGGGGGTGTTGGATTGAGTTAAATGTACTTCCAAGTGGTCCCAGTGGCAGTAACCGGGAGTGATTTATGGCAGTAAGTGAGAAGGCCCCTCCTGGTATCAGAACTCCTAGGATGCATAAAGGAAGGAGGGAAAAGATTCTGGTTATTGCTTCCAGTTGACATATCAGATACAAAGGGAAGTGATTTGCAGAGCATGAACAGCAAAGGCAACTGCTGAGAATATACCTGTGTGTCTGAATTTAGCTTTTCACAGGTAAGGTGTGATCTCAGAGGCTGCTGAGGGTTGTCTGCTCTGCTTCTTTGTGCAGATGGAACTGTCTTTTCTCCTCTGCCCCACAAGTGGGTGTGAGGACTGACAGCTCCATTTGCTCTTTCCTCGTACTGGGCTCTGCAGTCAAATTCAGCATTGCCCTGTTTTGCTGCCCCACAGCTACCGTTGTGACTGCAGTGACACAGGCTTCGAGGGGGACCAGTGTGAGTTGGATATCCTGGAGTGTGCCTCTGCACCCTGTCAGAACAGCGCCACGTGTGTGGAGGGGATCAAAAACTACAGCTGTGCCTGCTGGCCAGGTAGGTTAGAAATCTGTTTTGCTGTGCTGGCGTGTAGGCACGTTGCAATGGAGAGCACATGGGAAATTGCCATGTTGAAGTAAAGAATTAATGATCATTCTGCATGGTACAGTGTGATTATTTTTTAATTTTTTTTTTATTTTTTAATTTTTTATTTCATTGTCTGAAATAGTGAGGCTGCCACTGCTGCCCTTTACAGGCCATCCCAAGGCCCAGTTGACTCATTGCTGGGAAATGCACCCTGATTCTCAACTGTAACATTGTCTTTCTCTTTTCTGCCATTTTCCATCATGCGTTTTGCTATCATGAGGTAATCCTTTCCTGCAAATTGGTTATTTGGCTTCTGTGTTTGACATAGTGGAGAGAGTGGAAGGCCCTGGGCCTCCCTGCTAGATGAGCTGCAGTGTCTTCTGCGTCTCATTCTCACCTTCAAGGCAGCCACGGTATTTGGGAGGCTGGTTCCAGTGAAGTTGTGTGTGGTGTTGACACTGATGTCTCCTGGCAGGGTACGCAGGGCAGCACTGTGAAGAGGATGTGGATGAGTGTGCGACAGGTCCCTGTCACAACGGAGGCGTGTGCTTTGAGCGATCCAACCAAGCCTATTATGGAACAAGACCTGACTTCCCCAGCAATTTCAGCTATAGCCAAGCTGCCGGTTTTCTCTGTTGGTGCCAGCCAGGCTTTGCAGGTGAGCTATGCAGTAAATGTTCATCCTCTCTGCACCTGATAGATGCTTCGTGGTTCGAGTAGATAGGAATGGAGCAATGTTATCTGTGCAACAAAAGTCATTCAACGGCTGGTACTTCAGAGGGGGCAGCAGCCTGATGCGTGGGGAACATGCTTCTGTTCACATACTGTATGAATATATTACAGACAGCTGTCTGAGTGTCATTCCCTGTCCAGCACACCTGTCTCGAGGCTGAGGCAACAGCCTTTGCACTTCCCAAGTTCTTTGATGAATGCCCTCTGGCTATGCAGATGCCAGGGTGGTTTCTCTTTGTCAGGCTCTCATGCCCTACAGAGTATCTGTGAAACTCCTCATCAGAGGAAGTGAATTCCTTGGAGTCTCAGATAGCTATTCTAGGTGTTTCCTTGGTGAGACTACTCCCAACTGTGCAATCAGAGTGGCTAGAAGAGGGGGGTCTTGATATCTTGCTCTTGGAGCTAGAAGCTCTGTGAATGTTCAACTGAAATAATCACCCTTTCCCTCGTGTATAGATATGTATAAAAGGCTGGATTTAACAGCTGGGGAAACTGCCTGGTAGGAAGGGCTAAACAATAATACTTTATTCTTTTTTGAGAGAAAAATGAGAGATCAGCCCACTATTGCATAGGTGGGCATGGTTCAGAAGTTCTGATCCTGTCACGGCTCCCTTTCATGACACTGGAAAACCATTTGACCTTTCCATACTTCATTTTCCCTAGTTGTTTTGGTGATAGTATCTATTTGCCATGTCTGGAGAGACATGCTGTAGTTCAAGAAACACTTTTGCATTTTTTTGGTGACAGAAAAGAAGTGCAAAAATTTATGAATGCAGTTGTCATTTGGATTCTTTCCTTCGCTGATGCACATGTGGACTCAAGATGCCTGTTTGTGTTTTCACTTTAAAGGGGAGACCTGCTTTACTGACGTTGATGAGTGCGAGTCCCAGCCGTGTCAGAACGGAGGGCTCTGCCAGGACCTCGTTAATGGCTTCCTTTGCCGTTGCCCACCGGGTTATTCAGGTAACACTGGCGAAGGCGGGTGGCTGGGATCGTGTCCTGCCTGGCTGCAGGGCTGTGGGTTCCAGCGCTGGGGAGCCCGGGCTGCTGAGCGGGACGGAGATGAGCTGTGGGGAGTGCAGCCGTGGTGCGGCGGGACGGTTGCAGCTCAGGGCTCAGATGCCGTGAGAACGCTGGGTGATTTTGGTCAACCACTTGATAGGCTGTGAACTAGATTTTGAGACATAAAACCAGCTATGTAGGAAAGCCTAAGATCAGAATATCTAGGGGAGCTGTATCCTGGAGTGAACGCTCATTGCGAGAACTGTGAGGGGGGTTTTAATACACGTATTATGAAGGTGAACAAAACCAGCCTTCAAATAAAAAAAGGTGCTTAACATTCTAGTTGTCACAAGCTAGTGACTGTAGCAGATTGGATCACCAGCACATAAAACATCTGCAAAACATCTCTGTTCCCTAACACCCCTGGATGATAAGAGCCAGTGATTTTTGGCTGAAGGCACTGATCTGCTATGTTAGGAGGTCAAAAGGTCCTTGTGATGTGAGCAAATGAAGCCTTCTCTGTTTACAGGGGAATGATGAGTCTGGATTCTTACGCAAATGCCCTGCCTGACCCTCATGGGTTTCGTTTTTCGAGCTGAGAAATTAGGGGATAGTGAATATTGCACATCAGCTCTGTTGGGAAGGTACACTGCTAACCGATACTAAACCTCAACTTGGTTTAAAATATTTGCTCTCAGTCATCTGCATCTTTAAATGACATGTACTCTGGTTTGAGCAACTTAACACCAAAAAGTAGTTTATAAGAAAGGTGGTCCCCAGCACAATCTTGTCTTGATGTATTTTTGAGGTGAATGTAACCTTTCCACAGTGTTACTAGGCTGCCATCTCGTGGGAAAGATGAAAACTTGAAGCCAGAAGAAAGCCTTGTCCCTTTAACTTCTTACAACAGTCCAGAGACTGGTTTAGGCCTTTATTCCATGGGAAAGTTTTCTGTTTCCTCCTGTGGGCATAGTGGTTGAGCTATGTTGGTGTAACTCTTCCAGCTCTTTCCTGGGCAGAGCCATTACACAGGGACTTTCACTCCCAGAATCTCAAATCAACTCCTAGTTAACACCTGCTGTAACTGGCCTGAATTCTTTGTGTGGTTTTCTGGGCTATCTTGTTTGCTTTGGATTCCTAATTTAGGCTAGGCCAAGAAAAATTTGCTTTTGTAGGTGATGTCTTTGAAAATAGGCTTTTATCTAAGCTTTTTACTGCTGCTTTCTTGGGTAGATACAGTGCTGTACTCGTGAACTGAGATCTTGTCCAAAGAGATGGTTTAAAGTTTATTGTTAAAGTTTATCTTTATAAATAAAATAAAGTTTATTAAAGTTTATCTACTTGTCAGAATTCCCACGTACATATGTGCCCCGTTCCCTTCTCCTCCTTCAGTGTCCCAGCACCCTCACAGAGTTGAGAATTTTATTGTGCTTTGCCAAACTGCAGATCTGTTTAATCCTCTCCAATTCTTAGCGTGCTCATGGGCAGAAAAGCTGACAGAAACACAGGATGATGGGCAAAGGAGTGCTAGAGTTCATTCTGTTGCATCAAATTTGGGTTCATTAGTACTTGAAGGGGATTAGAAGCAGGTTGCTCTTCTGGATATTGCTTTTGGTAAAGGACTTTGTCTCAGCTGAGGTAGTTCTGACACATTAACACAGTGAAAGGCTGGGAGCAGTCTGTGAGATCAGTGAGTGCGTGTGGAGGAGTGAAGCTGACAGGGAAATAATAGCAATTAATCTCCCCTCCTTTGTCAATTAATCCCAGTACAGTCATGCTGGGTAAACAGCTTATTACTTCCTATTAGGATCACAGAACAACTTTGTGAAGCTTCCCATAATGTTTCTGTTCAAAACACATTTCTGTGGCAGCTTAGATCTGCCGTGAACTTGGGTTTAAGCTGCCTCCGCTGATTAAAGTGAACTTGCTACTCTGATGAAGAATGCTTTCTTGGGGCGGCAGGGGGTTCTTTCTGTAATTTTTTTTTTTTTCTTCAGTCAGAGGAATTTGGGGAGTGTTGGGATAACAATATGAGTCAGGAGAAATTCTTTCTTTGCAAATTAACTGCCTCAGTGCTGTCCCAGGCTACAGCAGTGCAGGGAGATGAGCCAACTCTCTCTGAAATGGAGTTGTTGCAAAAGCAGTGCCTCATTCCTCAGAGAACTACATAATAGGTCCTGGAGAGCCTGTTCAGTGCATCAGTGTGTGCTTTAGTAGGGGATGTACGCTGAGAGGATGTGAGAAGTACCAATCAAAAGATTGCACGGGTACTAAATGAAGTGAGAAGGAGGATGAATCTTGCATGGTCTTGGAAATCATGTCAGCTGCGGTCAAGAGAAAAAGCATATTAGGTAGGAAAAGTCTGTCTTTTAGGAAGTAAAAAACCCATAAAATGAATTCTTTATCCATAGGAATGGTTTCAGTCCATCATGTATGTAGCAGGCAATAGTTTAGGCCAGGATGTGAAGAAGGCAGGTACCTCCGTTTGGGATGGGAACCAATTTGTAACCCACAAGAGTGTGATCACTAGAGTGGAATTTGGCTCATTCATTCTTTTAAAATTTTTAAATGGCCTGACTGTTCCCACTTGTATTTCTACTCCTGCTAAAGTTGTCTGTAGAAAGGCAGTGTCCTGAAAACACAGTCCTGTGGCATTGGTCAGCCCGGATGAGAGGGGAAGAGCACCGTCATCTCAATTGTAGACATCCCTTAGCACTGGCACTTTGTGATCACGGTAAAATTCTGAGCTTTTTTGCACACGGCGGAGGAATGCTTCTACTTTCATGAGAAATCAGAAGGTGATGTGATGGTAAATTTGGGAGGGATTGTGATTGTGAATGTGTCTCAATATAATTGGAGAGCTTATTGACCATTTTACTTTGTTCAGCCGTAATGTCTTTGTCAATTGTCCTTAAAGAAGTAGGATACCTTCTGTAGAGCTAGCTCTAAATGGTTACTCTTACAGAGTGCTAGCCCAGATCAAATAGGCTTGAATTCCTGGGTCACGGGTCATGAAATAAATGGGAGATGCTTCTTCCTTCTAACCACCTTTGGATAGATTAAATTTTTTTGTGCAGGTATTTCTTGATGTCAGATTTGTTTTAGAAATGTAGCCCTTACAGAAAGGGCAGCTAAAAGGTTAAGATAGTAAGGAGATTAGAGGACTGTTACCCCTTCAACAGAATCCTTTCAGTAAATAGAGCTGAAGGGAGCTAGGGAACACTTGGTGAGACCCGCGCCCCCCCGCTTCCCTTCCGTTCCACACTGCATCTCCCCTCTGGATCATAGCTCCGTGGTTAATCAGACCTTTTGACTTTCCTGTCATAGACCGGGATGCTGCAAGAGGGAATGTTTCAGTCTAGGTCCTGCTTGTCTCTGGGTGTCAGGTGAGTTTTGATCAAAAGCGTCCTCTGAGGTTGTGATGCTTGTGACTGCACGTTCTGGTTTGAACTAGCCCTTTGCATAGATTTTCTGATTACAGACAGCCTGAGATATGCCAGCTCACCATGGTTAAAGACTTTTGAGAGGATTATTAGTGGTGGAGCAACTCTGATGAATTAAATTTGACTTCCTTACTAACCAAAATGGGTAAAGCCCAGCTTAATGTCATCTTTAGAATCAGGCCAGGCAAGTGCTTGGGCAGAGCAGTGTCCCAGAGAGACAGAAGAATTCTCTCTTTGTCTTCTCATGGTCTCTGCCAGGAGGGATGACTTCAGGATGTCAGATATTAGACTAGATTCAGTGTGTTGATTTTCACATAAATTGTTTATCAGCAATGTTTATTATTTTGAGTGGTAATGGATTTGCTTGCCAGGAGGCCACTACTTGCAGTATGTGAACTGCCATGTACGCCTCAGGCAGACCGAAGTGCCCTTTCCTTTCCTAAGGGCAAGGTGGCTCTTGAGACTAGGATGGGTGTCTCTGAAGCCTGGAAAGAAAGTCATAAATTTCTGGGACTCCTTTATGAACCCAGTGAGGAAGTTGCTAATCTCTGTCTAAAGAACATGTGTGAAATTTGGAAATTTCTATCCAAAATTCACTCTCCGTTTTGTGACATTCTTTTCTGCTAAGAACCCTCTGACATATTTAGTGTTCTTTATCTTGACCTCCTCCAAGAAGTTTTACGAATGATTAGGAGCAAAATAATTCTCTGAATTTAAACCCCGTGACTGAATCTTGTAATTGCATGATTGCCAGTAAGAATGGGGAATTAAAACCTCTAGAAAACGAATCATCTGATCCTTTTACTTGCTTTAGAATCCTCCAGTTTCAGAGAACCTTTAAGCAGTTACTACTCAGTTGTGTGTGGTTTGAAACAGATGTTCAGTGAGCCACTGTTTTGGCTTCTAAGAGATCTTATTTAAATATTTTATCTTGCATATATATATATATATATA